ACTGGTGATTCCACTGAATATTTTGTAGAACTTACTTAGAACTCAATTAAAGTGACAATCCCTGTGGAGTAGCCTTTCAGGGCTTGAACTTACAACTTTTCCAGTCCGTATTTTTAACCACTGCATCACACTACCCCCAAATGTAGTATATTTAGACATCAACTTCAATAAGAGATTACTTTATAGCTAGTGGTTCTTTGGTATGAGACCAATGCATAATATTTAAACACGAAAAATATGGTCCAAAAGCCTCTCGCCTTCAAGAGGAACAAAACAAATGCAGACGAAAGGGGAAGCATAGAAAATTAATTAGAAACTGCCTTGAGTCTATATCAGTGTGAGCCTCATTCTCAAACTCGTCTATAACTTTCTCTCTTCTATCTCTCTGCCTAAATACCAAAGCAAACCACAGCATGAAATAATCTCCTTCCCGCGGCACATCCACGGATGATGCAAGCGCACCCAATTCACTGCTGCAGATTGTCTCCGCACTCAAACCATAGCGTTTGTCTGCAGAATAACAATATTTACCTTCATGAGAATCTTACAAACATCATCTAAACACACTGGAACATCTTAAACGTACAATACACATCACTGGCAGTGTAACGACATGGCGTCTGTTTTCACTGTAATGCTACATGCTTTCATGCTCATTTCATCACAAGCTCTGAAGCTTCGCTTTCAGCCGGAGAGACAATTCTTCGGGTTACGGTGGCAACTTTTCAACAACTACAGACGATGGCTTTAATGCAACCTTTCAGAACGAGAGCTAGCCAGACACTTCGCACTCCCTGGTGGCCAGCCCTCAAATTCTACTGATTTAATGGCGCAAAGCTGCAAGTGATGGATTTGTGTTTCGAACGTGAAAAAAATAGCTCTTTTTATTGGAGAAATAGAGTAGCAGCGGAGTGCCTGGATGAGGAAAGGTGAGGGAGAGCACGGGCAACCGCCGCCACCATGATTTCATTTCATTCTTGTCTCGCAGCACTCTAGAGGGAGTAATTGAAACCGAGTGCGATACGATTCAACAACGCTGTTTCCATTACCGCCCACTTCTGGAAGCAAGTCTCCTCTCTGTCCCTTGCTTGGTGTTTTATCCATATTCCAGCACAAATGGGGAGCTGGAGTAAACAAAGAATCACACACATGTACGTAGGAAGTGCAGAAATGTACACCATAAACACACTTTTCTGTTAGTGTTTTGGTCTTGTTTTTCAAGTAAAATATCTACAAATTTTACTTGAGAAGAAAAACTGCATTCAAGATGAAATCAGAGCTGCAGTTAAAGTCCACGGACAGGCACCAAAATGAGAAAGTTAAGGCTGTCGCTCGAGTGAACCTGCAAGCTCAATTGAGACTTGGCTTCCTCCTGATGCTCCGTCTGTCTCTCTTTCCATGCAATAATGTCAGGGCTGAGAGGGAGCCCTGCCACTTTGGGCTTCTAATAAGCAGCGCTGATCAAAACACAACAAACCAGCCTTTGAAAAAAACGAGATGCTGGAATTTCAATCAATGTCTGTGCTCCCTTCCAACTGCTGCCCTGTACGTCAGGAGATGCTGCAGAAATTTGCCAGCTCTCTAATTTAGCTTTACAGCCGACAACAGTATGAGTTCAGTCTTTCGGGAAGAGAGTGTGACGTGCCGTGAAACAAATAAAGTAGCCAGAAGCTGTCAAGCAGGAAAAAGTGTAAAAATGTGACATGGAGGATAGCTGGGCGTCTATTTCTCGAAAAATGTGAGAGAAAACAACTGAATTTCATTTCCCAATAGATTGATTTGAGGCTTCTGATGCAATCTGACGTTAAGGTTATAGTATCGTGCCATTATGATTTAAAATCCTGACAAATAATGATATATTGAGTGTTAAACATCAGACTAAGTCTCACTCAAACTATGTGCTTTGGTTATTTATCCTGATTTACCTGACAGCAGTCCATTGGACACTCAATTCTCTTCAACACAGTGGCTGAGCGAGCTCAGGATAGTCTGAGCGCTCTAGCTTCGATAAATTGTCATATTTTCTTTGCTTCATATGCTTCCCTTGAAATTAACTGCACTTAGGCGTAATGAAAGTTTGATGGTCTCGTCGTGTGGGTGGTATCTTTACAGTCAGTGCCGGGCAACTCACAAAGCAGAGAAGACGAACAAGTGAGCGAGGAAGATAGAGAAAGGGAGGGAAGTGTGGTGGGGGGGTTGGGGGTAGACGTAAGTCATATTCATATTCAGACAAGCAGAAAATTAGATCCTCCACCAACCATTCGCTCTAGAGATCGTGAGGGGCTTGTGGGTCTATTGTTAGGCAGCATAAATCGCCTGCGCCACACAAATAATGACCGGTCGTGTCAGGCAAGCATCAACATCATTCCTCGTCCCCTCCAAATCCAACAATGACGTTACAGACAAAGGCCAAAGCAGACGTGTAGTCATTGTGAAGCAATCCTCAGGATACGATATGTCTACTAACTGGAGACTCAAATGGTGGTGCTGGTTGAAAGGTTTGGCCAATGCCTTCAGAAGATTTCAATGGTAACCATTATGCACTATTCAGAACTGAACTGAGAATGTCTTTAAAATTCCCCAGTTTTAATTTTATTTGAGTGGTAAACAGATATATAGATATAATTTTAAATAAAGGAAATAAGAATTAAAATAAACTGAAATAATAAAAAAAACTCATATAACTGAGATTTTAAAAGGGAAGCTTTGCAAAAACCAGGGGCGTCAAAAATATAATATAATATAATATAATATAATATAATATAATATAATATAATATAATATAATATAATATAATATAATATAATATAATATAATATAATATAATATAATATAATATAATATAATATAATATAATATAATATAATATAATATAATATAATATAATATAATATAATATAATATAATATAATATAATATAATATAATATAATATAATATAATATAATATAATATAATATAATATAATATAATATAATATAATATAATAATATAATATATTTTTCAATTGCTAGAAATTCCACAAAAAAAAAGTCAAATAAAAAAAACAAAAATAAATAAACTCATATAACTGGGATAAATGTTATTTTAAAAGGGAAGGTTTGCAAAAAACATGGGTGTCAAATAATATAACATAATATAATAAATATAATATAATATAATAATACAGATTCCACAAAAATGTAAATAAATAAATAAATAAGAAGCACTGTATTCAACATTGATTGTAATAAGACATGTTTCTTGATCACCAAATCAGCATATGAATTTTTTTTTATGAAGGATCCTGCAACACTGAAGTAATCTGAAAGTTCAGATTTGCAATCAATTACATTCTAAAATAGATTAAAACAGAAAACAGTTCTTTTAAATTGTGATAGTATTTCACAATATTACAGTTCTTACTGAATTTTTGATCAAACAAATGCAGCCTTGGTGAGCATAAAAGACTTCCAAAAAAATCTTACCAACCCCAAACTTTTGAATGGTAGTGTATTCTAAATATACTTTATAAGTTGTATTTGCACATGTCAACAGGCACATAAATGTCTAGTGAATTTGTCAACGGTCAAATGCAACTGGACTTTATATTAGATTATTTTAGGAAGGCCACTCAATCTGAGCTGCTTCAACAGAGTTCGAGCTCATTTTCACAGCCAAGGCTTCTTTGGTCATTTCATTTATAACCTTTTTCCCTGCACATGGATTGTTTAGGTTCTCAAGGCTGTTTGACTCTCACAGTGTGCCGGCAGCTCAAAGCCCAACACAAGCTACCAAACCAATAACCCTGGCCTAACTGGGGCACAGGCCCGATGTAATCGAACCAGTGACTCACAAAAGCACCTCGCCAGACAGTTTTCACATGTCGCTCAGGAGGTTAATGGAAAAGAACTCGACTGAAAGGAGAACAAGAGAACAAGCTTACAGCCGTCCGCACATTCATAAGAGGTTTGTTGAGTAAAACCACTCAATATCTTACAAGTCGAAGACATTATCTATCCGTCCTTCACTTGGAGGAGTCCGTGGATGGTATGTTTGGTTTATGGAGACAATATAATGAACCAAACTCTTCACATCTGGAAAAGATGAGCAGCGTAAGCAGCATCTGATATCTCACTTTAGGTAAAGAAGCTCAGGGTGGTCTTCAAGCGTTCATCATCTAACATGTAAATAACTGTATTTTGCAAGTGAATAGCCTCATTTTAGACCAAAGTGCAGCTTTCGTAGCATTTTGTGCGAGGTAACAGTAGAGTTCAGCTCATCATTAAATCATACATCAATGTAATTCCAGGCCTATTCATGCGCAACAACGGCAGGCAACCTTTTCAAAGAGCCAGACCATGAGAGCTAATGAAGTGCTAAATGTGGAGAGCAAACTTCATTTTCATATGTAAATATTCAAAGGTTGCGGGGCGAGGGCAGACATATTTTCTCTGGAACAACGTTGAGGAGAGGAAGAGAAAGAGAAAAGCATTCTGGGAGGCACTCGATTGTGTGCGGGGCTTTTTTCTTCGTTGTGTCGCTGTGTGATGGTGAAGCTTCAAACAATTAGAGCCAATTAAAAGGTATCGAGTCGAAACAAACCCGGTGGGGAGGGCTTCAGTGTAAATACCACAGATCCTTCTCATGCACGTTCCTCTGTGAAAAGCCAAGTGGTTCCTCTCATTTGTATTCCGCCCTCTCAAAGCGAAGAGTGAGAAATGCGAGGAAGGGTTTCTACAGAGCCAAGTGGCATTGTATTACAGGCTGCATTTGCCTAAAGTTACAAGATGTGCTTTGACAAGCTGCCATTGTACGAGGAAGAGGTCCTCTCTAGGTCTGAAAGGCTTCCAGTTCTCTCTGGGCCAAGAAGGCCATGCTTGGAAAAACAAAACAAAATAAAAAAACCTTTAAAAAGATGTGAAAAGAGAACATGGGGTCGCTTGGTTTAAGGGTCACATTGAAAGCGCTGTGGAGAATTGAGCAGGGAGGTTTGTGGCAGATCAGTAAAGCAAATTAGCAGCGAAGGGAGGGGAACAAGAGGGCCTTCAAAAGACGTCAAAAGTGCATTTTCACAGCTTAACAGCAATGGTTCACTCAAAAGTAAACATTTTGTCAAATGGAAATTTTATATAATGCACTGCTTGCTATTTTCCACACAGATAAATAAAGCTTTCAAGCTTTAAAAAGTTTGTGAAAGCACCATTAAGTTACATAAAACTTGTTCATACAACTTGTGTGCTGCATTTTAAGTCTTCTGAAGCTATATAATATTTTTGTTGGACCATACCAAAATTTTATTTGTTATTTACATATAAACAAACTATATAAGTCAGTGAGTTGAAGACCGAATTAGTCTGATTCATAAATGAATCATTCAGACTTGTTTTGTGAACAGAAACATCCAAATCATTGAAGTGATTCAAAAGAATGCTTTGCTCACATATTGAACATCTGTATTTTGGTGGACTATCATTTTAAATAAAGTGTGTAAGAAGTCAGAGTGCAGGGATAACTTTCTCTTCTCTGCTTCAAATTACAACTCCAAAAACAATTCAAAAGCACAAAACGCATGAAACAAAAAAGGGGAAATTTAATTTCAATAAATATGAAGGAAGTAAGAAAAGAGGGCGCCCCCTTTGCCATGACCTCAAGAGCCGCTAAACGCAGCTGTCAAAGGTAGCAGGGCCTGCTGCGAGAAACTTAACGAGTGACTTAGCATAATGTGGGGTCTGCTTTTGAACCTGACCCACCACGAGTGCTTTGGCATGAGATTATATTCACCAAGTTACAGCAGCAGAGAATAGGATGCAAAACCTTGTTGTTCATGTGCACCTTTAGACCTTGCTGGAAAGAAATGTGAGAATATACTGTAGAAAGCAAAGTTCTTCACATTCAAACACGCTGACAATATACAGAAATGTTCAATCTCTCAAAAGAAACATGCTTTCATACAGTGCCTTGTGGTCACAAACACCAATGCAATCCATATTTCCCCATACACTACCATTCAAAAGTATCTCATACTCACCAAGGCTGCATTTGTTGGATCCAAAATACAGTTCAAAACAGTAATTTTTGTGAATTATTTTTACAATTGAAAATAACTGTTTTCTAACATATTTTAGAATTTCAGCAGCCATTACTCCAGTCCTTCAGAAATCATTCTAATAGCGTAAGAAACATATTTTACTGTTATCAATGTTGAAAACAGCTGCTTAATATTTTTGTGGAATCTCTTATAAATTTTTTTCAGGGATCTTTAATGAATTGAAAGTTCAAAAGACCAGAATAAAAAAAAAATAGAATTTAGTGATAAATAACTATACTAAAATGTATTTAAAATACTTTTATTTCATGCTAAGTATACTACAAATACATTTACACATTTATGTACTTAAAATACCTTGCAATTGTACTTAAAGTTTACTAAACTGGTATTCTTAAAGTCTGCTAAATTTTAACAAATAATTTTGTACTTAATGCACTTTAAGTGTGTGTAAGTAGTGCTGAAGTCCAACTAAAGATGAACTGAAGTATATTTGATTGTGCTAAAGTGGAACTATTGCAAGTATACATCAGGTACACTTTAAGTATCTTGCATTTAAAGACTGATATTATACAAAGATCATACAATCCCCATCAATACTGACATTAAAACACATTTTTAGGCTTAATATTAAGAAATGTATGGAAGCCCGTTTCCGCCACTGAAAAAAAAAAAAAAAAAGGTAATTGCGACTTTTTATCTCACAATTCTGACTTTTTTTTCACAGAATTGCGAGATATAAACTCGCAATTGCGAGTTATAAAGTCAGAATTGCTAGATATAAAGTCAGAATTCGGACTTTTTTTCTCAGAATTGCGATATAAACTCACAATTGCGAGCTATAAAGTCAGAATTGTGAGATATAAAGTCACAATTGCGAGATAAAAACTCGCACTTCTTACTTTTTTTCTCAGAACTGCGTGATATAAACTCGCAATTGCGAGTTATAAAGTCAGAATTGCGAGATATAAAGTCAGAATTCGTACTTTTTTTCTCAGAATTGCGATATAAACACAATTGCGAGCTATAAAGTCAGAATTGTGAGATATAAAGTCACAATTGCGAGATAAAAACTCGCACTTCTTACTTTTTTTCTCAGAACTGCGTGATATAAACTCGCAATTGCGAGTTATAAAGTCAGAATTGCGAGATATAAAGTCAGAATTC